CTTCTCGACCGCCTTGGAATTAGCGGTAGTCTTTTCTAGTAGTTTAAAGATTACCTCAGCAATCACATGCAAGCTGTAAAGTTGAGTGATGTTAATTTCTTCCTATAAATTGATAGTCTTAGGCATCACTCAGGGCTGGCTTGGTTAACCTTCTTCTCAACTTTTCCTGTGACCCTTCTGCCTGAATGAATACTTTGCTTCCCTTTTCTTCCATCTCTAACTTGTCTCTCATTCCTATTTTTCCACTATTTTATTTCCAATTTCAGTTCCAATCTTACATAGGCTCTCTCGGCTTGCCATTTACTCTAACTATCTGTTCGCCAATTTTTGCAAAATTTTCGTGTCATATGGTAGGAACGATAATTTATCAAGACTACAGATGGAACTAAACTGTTGGGCTTTGCCCCTCCGCATGGTCTCTCCTTCAAGGCATTGTAAATTAACTCATTAGGTTTGTAATAAGCTGTTGTAGCACGCTGGAGCCGACATTTCAAATTATGTAATTAGTTTCATTAATTCTGCTTCGCGCTTTTGTAATTTGAGTTTTCTGTTCCTCTTCTCTATTCAAACGAATGACATGCTTGCTTGACGGAAAACCTATCGAATGGGTATTACGCATGGCCAAGAAAATGCATTATGATTTTGTCGAGCGTCAAAATTCTCAGGCACACTGCATTGTCAAATCATATACCAGACGCATTCATTCGGAGTTGGAAAGCCAATATTTTTTTAGTGATTCACTGCCTTCCTGGGCAATTCTAGCGCATTCCGAGTGCAAAAAAGTGAGCTTCTTTTTTGCAGCAATTAAATTAAAATTACCTTAAGGAAAGATCCCGAGCAACATCCTCGCTCATTTTTTGGTGGGTGCTCATCGTTAAATGACGCACTATCTTCGGATTGTAACACTTCGGATCGGAAACCATTCGGACAAGAAACGAGCGTCTTTCGGACAGCGTTGCTCGGTCTTTTTGCTTCAGTATTTCTTCTTTGCTGAGATTTTTCTGCGACTTCTGCTAAAAATTTTGCCACTGATCAGATAGATCAGAAGCTGGAATCACTTTCCATTTTCATCACACTATATTTTTGTCACTTTGAGCTTCTATACTTTCAGGTCTTTAGCATTTGGCTATAACAGTGTGCCAGCAGGGATGCCGTAGTGGAGTAGTACTGTTGCGATGCAGCATGGCCGAAGGTTCGACTCCGCCTGTGGGAAAGCCGATCACTTTACGAATCGCTTCGATGTTAAATTAATACTGGCATATGCCGTCCGCTTACTTGTATTCAAACACCATCAGCTTGCTTGTGAGCAACCCACGACAGAGGGGACCATCGAAAACGCTGCCAGTGGATGATTGCTGTTGGCATTTGCTATTACTCTATTTAC